CACACCCACACTCTTACTAAATTTAAATAAATCTTGAATCAAATGGATGAATCGGAACTAGCAATAACAGTCAGTGGTGGGGAAGCGAACTAATCCACAATTTCTATTAGTACATGATACGACATAGCCTATACCTGTGGCTACATTATTCGTACATGTGAAGTCGCGTTATGTTCGTCACGCGTACGAAAAAGATGTACGTGCGGCGTATCAAGTATAATGACACGCGTATAGTGGCTGTACCGATGGACTATGACAGATGTAACAACGATGCGAGATAAGTACATGCTAAGAGGAGAAATATGCAATGCTATACAAATAATAAATATATTTATACTTATCAGTTAGTATTTTCCTTTGGTTTACTTACTCATGGGTAGAATTTATCCTTATTAAGTGTTGGTTAGGTGTGGATCAGAGGTATCGATGGCGTCGCAACAATCAACGCCAATTCTACCCTGCAGGGTGGAATTGACGTTGATTGTTGCAACGCCATAGACACCTCTGATGTGGATGTGCTTAAAAATTAGTTGAATATCCACACCTATACTCTCAAGACGTAAGATTTCCTTCTTCCAGTTAGTTTTGTAGGACAAAACTTCTTTTAAGTTGAATGTGAGCGATTGCTGAGAATAAGTAGAGTGTTGTATTAAAGGATGTAATGCAGTTAAGAACATTGATTTCCTTAAGATCAACTTTTCTTTAAAGAACAAGACGAAATATCCTGTGCAGTTTGAGAAAACTAAAAAATAGTACAACGTTAAAGGACTTCTCACTGATATAGATATTTTTCGACTAATGAAAACTATGTAGTGAGGTCGTAGTTGTCATAGCAAAACCGGAGAGAGACAATACACAAAAGTTTCGTAACTGTCTTTCACTCTCACTCCTTCATCTCATCATCTCGTGGTCATTGATTTTAGACTAACTATCCAATTGCATAGTAGTCGGCTCAAAGGTTAGCAGTTAGAATTTAAACATGGTCGATCAAGCGTAAACCATCAAAGACCAAAGTCCGGCCGTCAAAGATTATGAAGTAACGGGATACTGAGAAAAGTAACAGGGAAGTTGCAATGTAGAGTGCTGCAGATCGGAACCCATAGCATCCTGTTGGCATGAAGGTTTGGAATTTTTCTGCCACCACTTGTGACAAAGATGCGTGTGTCACGATCGCCATCTACTATAGATGGACGATCCTCCTCTTTTTTCCATATATACACAAGAGATATTATATGTAGTGACTATTGTATACATGTCCACTGAAGAAAGAAATAAAGTCAGATTAAGGTGAAAACAAACAAAACCTTAACAATGGTGCACTAGCCAATATTTTCTTTAAAAATAAATAAAAAAAAATTCTGCGTGGCAGGCAAAGTAAATATCTGGCTAGAAACAACCTTGATGAACATTAAATCTACTCTGTCTACAACTGATTTCACACAAACAACTATTGTTTCTTTACTATTACCTTCTAAAAAGGAAAACAACCGTTATTAATGATGTCGAATTCTGAACAAATTAATATTGATTCTACATTTACAACACTTGATCTCAATAAAAATGTTAAAACTATTACAGATTCAACAACATATGAGCTAGGTCATGATTTAAATGATCAGCGATTAACTGAAAATGATCAAAAACAACAATCTTTAATACAACAATAATTAAATTCAATACAAAGATTTGATGAACATGCTAATCCAAAAATTTGGTTAAAATCTATCATAGAAAAATTTGATTTATTACAATTAACAACTCTTGAACGTAATGAATTAATTTCAGAAACTTGAACTGGTGATGCACTTGTTGGTATATTGAAGAAGAAGAACACATGCTAACTATTATTACATTTATGAAACAATTTTTGCAATATTTTGTAAATCAAGAATTGAAACCAGATCCGTCAATAGAAATGATATCATCATGTACAACATTAAAATTATTAGGTGATGTTCACAATCAAGATACTGTTACTAATTGTTTACGAAATCAATTGTTAATTACAAACCTGGAAAAATTACAAAAATATTCTGGCTAATCACAACAAAATGTATCTCAATGGTTAAGAGAATTGCAGCAAACATTGAAAATATTTATATTGGCAGATGCTGAAAAACTTTTTTATGTATCTTTATGTTTAGAAGCTGATGCACGAGATTGGTTTTATAATAATCCTGATTTATGTACAACGTGATCCATATTTACACAAAATTTATTAAAAACATTTGAGTCTTTGCGAAAAGCTTATATCTGTTTTAATCGATTACGTCATTATGAACAAAGTATAAATCAAGATGTCAGACAATATTATTTTGATGTTATGAAATTATGTAAAGAAGCCAATCCATTAATGGACGACGCTAGTAAATTACAATATTTGAAGGATGGTTTAAAACCTTCATTACGTTTTGATGTCTTATTAAAAATTCCACAGACAACAACAGAATTTTTGGAATATGCCCAAAAGATTGAAGAACTTAAAGCAATAAATGAACAACAAGACACTGAATCGTTTCCATTTGGACAACCAAATTATAACAATTCATATTATAACACTACTTATGATAACAATAATTCGTCTGAACGACATGTAGCTGCTATAACAACAGAACAACAATATTGTAATTCTATACCTAAACAACCTTATCAATGTTATAATTGTGGTGCTAATGATCATTATATTCGTAATTGTCCACATTTTCAATAAGGGAATCATTGAATGATGGTAATGACTCCTATGAATTAATTAAAATGCCATCACCAACTTTTAATCTTGCAAATGTTAATCAAGTTTCGATGAAAGTTATGTTTGATTCTGGTGCAACAACATCTTTTATTAGCATAGCAGCATTACAACGAACAACGCATTTACCGATTAGGTTCACTCAACAACTTTATTTAATGGCAGACGGTTATACTACTTTTGAAGTAATTGGTACTGTAAAAATTTTTATTGAATTCAATCAAATGAAAACAAGTATTGTGGCAAGAATTGTTAATTCTTTATGTGCTGATTGCATTTTAGGAATGGATTATATTAATAAATACAAGGTTAATCTTAATAATAAAGACAAAAAAATTCAAATTCATACATTTAATAATATGATCACGATTCCAATGGAAGATCAAGTCGGCAGTATTAGAATGTTATGTCGATTAATTAATCCGACATGTATTTATCCATATCAAGAAAAACGAATTAAAATTGCTACACAAATGTCGTCTGGACAACTGCTATTTTCTCCTGCTTATCATCTTATTTATAAAAAAAGGTTTAATTAGTCTACACTCATCAGTTTTAGTTAAGAATCATGTTACTTGGATTTCAATTTATAATCTAACATCTACAGTACGTTATTTAAAACGAAATGTTATTGTTGGCGTTGCTGTTAGTCCTCACATTACTAGTGCAGTTACAACTAGAGCTCAAGCAAAAGCAAAAATTAATCCACACAAATTAACTAATACTAAACGTAATCCTGTTACAAGATCATCAACAAATGACCAACCACAGGAAGTGGTTGGTCATGAGTTTGATATCTCTATTATTAGTGAAGCTCAAATAGGTGATAAATTATATCAAGAAAAAGTTCTGAAACTTAAAAGTGGTTAAACCAATTGTTCTTATATACTTAATAATGGAATTTTATACAAATTACTTAAATATAATACGTTTATACAAAAACTGATATATGTACCTTCAACAATTTTGTCAGAATTATTAAAGGCTTATCATGTTGCACCATGGAGTGGTCATTTTGGTTTTCGCAGTACTTATTTTAAACTAAAACATAAATATTGGTGGCCAGATATGAAAACAACTATTAAGAATTGTATTCAATCTTGTTCAAAATGTCACAATTTTAATGCTAATCATCATCAACCTGATTTACCATCAAAAAATCCTAAGGATATTTATACGTATGACAAGTCACATGTTTATTTTCCACATTTTACAAGAACTTTAGGTAATTTTCATCAAAAATCACAATCTAATATGGGCCAGAGTCAAACTTATCGTCGAATGTTAGATCGTTATCATTCTGATATCCATTACTCAACTGGTGATCAAGTATTAAAACGCGTTTCAATTAATCGTTCAAAAATAGCTGCACTTTACTCCGATCCTATGACGGTTATTTAAGATAGGCATCCAACTTACTTAATCCAAGATGCAATTGATCGAAAAACTTATCAATAAATTTATTTAAGTTTTCTTGGTATTTTTTTTCTCTATTTCGTTTCGTTTTTTCTTTAACCTTGTTATTTTGTTTCTTGTTTTTTTTGTTTTTTTGTTGTTCATTTTTTTTGTAAGGGGGAGGTGTCACGATCGCCATCTACTATAGATGGACGATCCTCCTCTTCTTTCCATATATACACAAGAGATATTATATGTAGTGACTATTGTATACATATCCACTGAAGAAAGAAATAAATAAAGTCAGATTAAGGTGAAAACAAACAAAACCTTAACAGCGTGGGTTTTGTTTATTTTTTCTGCATGTTGGATTTTTATCATATAAGAAATAAAATTGCTATCTTTTTCATCATCATATGACGCACATAAAGGTAAATTACTACGGCTTACATCATTATATAACGCATATAAATGTAATACAGAACGTCAGGTGATGCAGGTTGCTGTTATTTTTTCTTACTAATCTCTCACCATTAG